TTCCCGCTAGAGAGATGGTGCTTCTCCATCTACAGCGAAATAACTAACTGGCACATGGGCTTGGCTCTTCAAAGCACCGTACTCCACTGGAGCTGCTCTTGACGATCAGCCACGCGACATGACAGGCATGCTCCATCACGTAGGTGCGAGCCTCTGCGCCCTGCTTAGAACGCTCTGGCCTGGCCTCTTGCCTGCCTGCTGATGAGCTGGCATGAAAGGGGCTGTAAAGACTTGTACTTCCTCTTCCTTTGTGGCCAGGGCTTGTTTTCTCCTGCTCTCTCTGTGGCAGCAGAGCCAAAACCTTGCTGGCTCCTGTATGCGTAGTGGTGACCACTTCCTATGAGCCTCCCGGCAGAGGTGGAGGTGTGTGCCAGGAAAAGATGGAACCGGGACGGCTTTGTCAGGTTGCACAAGCACCGATTTGTAACTGATGTAGGTCAGGAGTAGGTGTACTATTGCTCTGCTGCGGAAGCGTGGTCTGTACTGGCCGGCAGCACCAGAGCTAGAGTTCCCAGCTGTTGTGAGAGAGTTCAGAGGCTGTTTTTTGCAGCTTGTAACAGTCACCCCTTCCTTGCACAGCTACGGAGGTTTCCAGAGCTACAGACGCACAAGGAAAAACAGAACGTACATCTGCAAGCCAGAGAGCGGCTGCCAAGGGAGAGGTATCTTCATAACACGTAATCCAGAGGAGATCAAACACGGAGAGCACCTGATCTGTCAGCAGTATATCTCTAAGGTAGTGGGGACCATCTCGAAACACAGGTGGAGGACTGCAGCCTCCCAGCTCTTCCCGCATCCTCCTCCATCTGCGCCCTCCTGGACCTGCCAGGGGCGTGGGCCGGCGGCAGCGCGGCAGAGGCACGGTGAAAGCCTGCCTTGCTCCTCGCTGCCGCACCACCAAGGAGCGGCACACGAAGTGCAGATAGAGCAGCTGGCCTCAAGGAATCGGCGGCAGGCCTAGCAATGTTTCTTTATCTCATGCTTTCTCCTGCCTTTTTCCTCACAGCCTTTCCTTATTGACGGCTTTAAATTTGACATGCGTATCTATGTGCTGGTCACGTCTTGTGACCCGCTGAGGATTTTTGTCTACAAGGAGGGCCTGGCCCGGTTTGCCACCACGAGGTACATCGATCCCAGCAGCAGCAGCAGCCTGGTAAAAATGGGAAGTTTCCAAAAAACTTGCATCGTACCTGTAGGTTTTAGTCCCCAATTTATCCTAGGGGCATTCCAGACCTTGAAAAGACAGGGACTGGTGGGTTTCGTGGGACCCAGCTTTCTTATTCCCTGTTTTGCCCTCCCTCTGTACCTCCTCCTCCTCTTCACAGGAGGTATTTCAGGAGTGTCTGAAGTAGATCTGCTCCCAGGCCCCACGTTTGGGCTGTTTACTGGCATTATCGTAGAATCATGGAGTTGTTTTGCTTGGAAGGAACCCTGGAAGGTCTCAAGTCCCACCTTCTGCTCAAAACTCGGTCAAGAATAAATGCAGATCTGGTTTCTTGGGGTTTCACCCAGTCGGGTGTTGAAAACCTGGTGGGACAGAGACCCCGTGGCGTTCCTGGGCAACGGTCCTACTGCTTCTTGCCTTTGTGAGCATTCTCAGTCTGCACCACGCCTTGTCTGGCTCTGTGCTTCAGGCAGAAAAGAGGCACCTGGGGATTACCTGGTGGTACTGGGACAGCCTAGGAGAGGCAGGGAGGGGAACTGGGAAAGCAAGGTGCGGAGTATGGCCATGCCCGTCTCCAGCCAGGGGTCTGCAGGCTGTAAAGTCCCCACAGAAGATGGCCTGTAGCGTCGAATTGCTGTGCTCTGGTCACAGCCTGGCCTGACAGACCCCACGCTTCTGGCTATCTGCCCGCCTGTTCCAGAGCTGCATAAGTGTACGCCCTCCCTCACGCTGACACGTGCATGTCTTGGGGAGGTCGTCTGCTCTGGGTGAGCAAAGGAAGACGAGGAATCTGCAGAGATTTGCTGCAGCTTCTGTGCTGAGGAGCCCCTGGTCTATCAGAGAGGCCACGGCTGGAATGGCACCTGTGGAGCTGACTCCTGTGCTCTCCCCCAGAGATAAGCACAGAGGTGCAGAGAGGGTAGAGCTCTGCTGGCTCTGACTCTGGCTAGAGAGGGAATCACCAGTGTGATTAACTCCTTGCTGCAAGGCACCGCCACGGAGAAGAGACGGCAGCGGGTGGAGTTGGTGGCTAGATCAGTGCTAGTGGGGCTGTTTCGATTGACGCTCTGTGGTCCACAGTAAATGTAAGTCTCTTGCGGTTCTTCTCTCAGGATGATATCTGCATGCATTTGACCAATTATGCTATCAACAAGCGTAATGAAAACTTCATCCAGGATGACACGATGGGCAGTAAGAGGTATTGTCTTGTCCAGGTACCGCAATGCGCTGTGCACATCCCGCAGGAAAGCTGCGTTTGGGACACTGTTTTACTTCCACCGTTCTCGGGGCAAACATGGTATGACAGGTCAGCTCTTACCATCTCCCGTCCTCCACGCAGGAAACTGTCCACCCTGAATGCCTGGATGACGGAAAACAGCTACAACACAACAAAACTCTGGGAAGATATTGACGACGTTATTATAAAGACTCTTATTTCAGCTCACCCTGTTGTGAAGCACAATTACCAAAGCTGCTTTCCGAACCACACTGCCAGCTGTGCCTGCTTTGAGATTCTGGGTTTTGATATTTTGCTGGACAGAAAGTTGAAGCCGTGGCTGCTAGAGGTGAGGAAGGAGTCTCCTGCTGTGCTGGAGCAACTCTGGGAGCAGCAGATAGCCGAGCGCTGGCTTGTCTGGGGAAGGCTCCGGAACAAGGGATGGTGGGATGAGCAGAACTGGTTAAAAAGGGCCACCTCGTTCACAAAATTATGAGCGCTGGCTTGTCTGGGGAAGGCTCTGGAACAAGGGATGGTGGGATGCGCAGAACTGATTAAAAAGGGCCACCTCGTTCACAAAATTAAACAGGCTGTGAAGACAAGTAGCCAAGCGACCTGCTGCAGGCTAAGCGGGGTCTAAGAGCCTGTTCCCTGCACGCCCTCTCTAAGAGCGCGGAGTTTCCTGAACCGTAGGACTCGACCTGTAACAGCATCCTGACTTTACGATAGCTGCCCCATGCCCGTAGTCCTGCTGGGTGGGGATCTGAGTGAGCTGCAGTGCGGGTGGGCATCGCGCTGCAGGAGGACAGAACTGGGTGCAGCCTCCTGCTTTCTGCCGCTGTTCCAGGGAAGAACATCCGTGGGAAGTGTGCGGCGGGGCAGACTGGGGCCAGCGAGCTGGCTGCTGGCAGCGCTTGCTGGGAGCTGCCAGGTTAGATTAGCTGCTTGTTTTGGCAGGTGAACCACTCTCCCAGCTTCACCACGGAGTCTCGCCTAGACCACGAGGTGAAGGATGCCCTTCTCTGTGATACCATCAACCTGATCAATGTGCATGCCTGTAACAAAAGGAAGGTGCTCAGGGAAGACAAGCAGCGGGCAAAGGAACGGCTCCTCCAGGCCCATCAGACTCTCCGTGCATCCAGGTATTGCTCTTCCCCATAGTGCTGCAGGTCTCCAGCGAGAAAAGACAGGGAATAGCGGAGCAGGATAAAACTAAGGCTGGCTGTCTCCAAATCGGAGCTCCCAGAGGCCACGGCACTACGTAGCCTCTGAGAAGAGATCGCCCAGGCCATCTGCATCCTGCAAGGAGGAGCCAGGGCTGGTCTCTGGGCGCCAGGAGGTCCGAGGTTTCGACACAGTCTCCCATGATATCCTCCTGGGGAAGCTGAGGAAGTGTGGGCTGGATGAGTGGTCGGTGAAGTGGATAGAGAACTGGCTGAATGGCAGAACTCAGAGGGTTGTCATCAGCGGCGCTGAGTCTAGTTGGAGGCTGGTGACAAGTGGTGTCCCTCAGGGGTCAGTACTGGGCCCAGTCTTGTTTAACTTCTTCATCAACGACCTGGATGAAGAGTTAGAATGTACCCTCAGCAAGTTTGCTGATGACACCAAACTGGGAGGAGTGGTAGACACACCGGAAGGCTGTGCTGCCATTCAGCGTGACCTGGATAGGCTGGAAAGCTGGGCAGAGAGGAACCTGATGAGGTTCAACAAAGGCAAACGCAGGGTCCTGCACCTGGGGAGGAACAACCTCATGCACCAGTACAGGCCTGGGGTGGACCTGCTGGAGAGCAGCTCTGCGGAGAGGGACCTGGGCGTCCTGGTGGACGACAGGTTAACCATGAGCCAGCAATGTGCCCTGGCTGCCAAGAAAGCCAATGGGATCCTGGGGTGCATCAAGAAGAGTGTGGCCAGCAGGACAAGGGAGGTTCTCCTTCCCCTCTACACTGCACTAGTGAGGCCCTATCTGAAGTCCTGTGTCCAGTTCTGGGCTCCCCAGTTCAAGAAGGATGAAGAGCTACTGGAGAGAGTCCAGCGGAGGGCTACAAGGATGGTGAGGGGACTGGAGCATCTCCACTACGAGGAGAGGTTGAGGGAACTGGGCTTGTTCAGCCTGAAGAAGAGAAGGCTGCGAGGGGACCTTATAAATGCCTACAAATATCTGAAGGGTGGGTGTCAGGAGGATGGGGCCAAGCTCTTTTCAGTGGTGCCCAGTGACAGGACAAGGGGCAATGGGCACAAACTGAGGCACAGGAAGTTCCGTCTGAACATGAGGAAGAACTTCTTCCCTCTGAGGGTGACGGAGCACTGGAACAGGCTGCCCAGGGAGGTTGTGGAGTCTCCTTCTCTGGAGATATTCAAGACCCGCCTGGACAAGATCCTGTGCAGCCTACTGTAGGTGACCCTGCTTCGGCAGAGGG